GAACCCAGGAGCTTGGGTATGGTGTAGACAAACCTAGAAACCTATCTGGGATCTGAACCCAGGAGCTTGGGTATGGTGTACACAAACCTAGAAACCTATCTGGGATCTGAACCCAGGAGCTTGGGTATGGTGTAGACAAACCTAGAAACCTATCTGGGATCTGAACCCAGGAGCTTGGGTATGGTGTAGACAAACCTAGAAACCTATCTGGGATCTGAACCCAGGAGCTTGGGTATGGTGTAGACAAACCTAGAAACCTATCTGGGATCTGAATGCAGGAGCTTGGGTATGGTGTAGACAAACCTAGAAACCTATCTGGGATCTGAACCCAGGAGCTTGGGTATGGTGTAGACAAACCTAGAAACCTATCTGGGATCTGAACCCAGGAGCTTGGGTATGGTGTGGACAAACCTAGAAACCTATCTGGGATCTGAACCCAGGAGCTTGGGTATGGTGTAGACAAACCTAGAAACCTATCTGGGATCTGAACCCAGGATCACATGTCTGAGGTGGTAAGGGATGCAGATGTTTGAGTGATGTAACACTTAACAATAGGGCCACCTGTGCCAGTGAGTGAGTGAGATGGGTCTAACACTGCTCTGAACTATTGTTCAGGTTTATCATGTCAGCTCTATGTGAGGGAAATCCTCATGGACTCTGGTGCTAGATGTCTGGGTGTCAACCAAGGAAAGTCACTGGTGGACAGTGAATTCATGACAGACCTTGATGAATACATTTGTTATAATGAACAAAAGTTCTGTGTCACAAAAAGATAATGATTATGATCAGTTGACACCAGCTTAGAATATGGCAACCATCTTGGAAATTGGCAGCCATCTTGGATTTTGGGGTGGCTTACTTTTATTTATATACACAAGAGCAATAGTGATGTAAAGTTTTATACTTGTATGATCATATGAGCAATTTCCCTTTATGTTGCCACACAGAAGCCCTCCTGTGAGTGTATCCATCAATTAGAGAACTTCAGATATGCTAATTTGTCCCGAAATTCTTTCACACAATACCTGAACACATCATGTTACCCTGCCCTAATGCATTACAGGTAAAGAGGTGTAAAACAAGGACTGGTAAGATAAGAGTCAATATACTGTGTCAGAGTGGGCCGAACTTGTCAAACTGTGGCATGATATCATAGTGGGCTCTCACTATACATACATGAATATTACCCATGAAGGTCCAGGTTAGAATATTGGCCTTCAGTAACCCATGCTTGTCGTAAGAGGCGACTAACGGGATCGGGTGGTCAGGCTCGCTGACTTGGTTGACCCACATGTCATCAGTTCCCAATTGCGCAGATCGATGCTCATGTTGTTGATCACTGGATTGATTGCTGAGTGCGGTGTAAAACTAAACTCACTCACTCACTAATGAATATCACTGTAAACATGCAATAATCAGTAAACCTGATTTCAAGTCCATACCTGGACATGTATGTTTACAATTTGTACAGGATTCTAATATGTCCTCAACTACAGCTTCACTGATGCCTTTCTCTACCTTCAGTGCTGTGTGTGTTCTGGACGATGTGCCTGTGAGTTTCCATGCCGTGTGTGTTCCGACTGTCCTTGACCCCACTCTACCTTATACATATGCTGATTCATTTAGATTATTCACCTTCTGGTATCAGTTTCCGGTACCCTAATAAAATATCGGGGCAGTGATTGTACAATGAAGAGGAAATGACAGGTCAATGGAAAGTGACACACACTCAATAACAATCTAAAAGAAATAGTCCACTGCAGTAAACCTTCACAAATTCAGTTCAGTGTTCTTCCACTGCCTCAACTCGGTGTACCATAAACAAAGGAATGGATGTAATATTGATGATAGTGAGCGTTTCATTTGTTTCAATACAGAAACTGGAACAGATAGGTCTCCATTCCTTCCCCCTCGCAGATGCTCCTGTTGTCAGAACAACAACTGTTACTGTATGCTGAGTTGAATAACTGCTGACCAAAGGGCATGTACAAAGGAGAGTGGATACTACAGGTCAAGGAGAATACTACAGGCCAAGGGGAATACTACAGGCCAAGGAGAATACTACAGGTCAAAGAGAATACTACAATACTACAGGTCAAAGAGAATACTGTAGGCCTAGGAGAGTACTACAGGTCAAATATATTACTACAGGCCAAGGAGAATACTACAGGTCAAAGATATTACTAAAGGCCAAGGAAACTACTACAGGCCAAATAGAATACAACAATACTTCAGTCCAAAGAGAATACAACAATACTACAGCCTAAAGGTAATACTACAGGTCTAGGAGAATACTACAGGTCTAGGAGAATACTACAGCTCTAGGAGAATACTACAGGCCTAGAAGAATACTACAATACTACAGGTCAAGGAAAATAGTACAGGCCAAAGAGAATACAACAATACTACAGGTCAAGGAAAATAGTACAGGCCAAAGAGAATACTACAATACTACAGGTCAAGGAAAATAGTACAGGCCAAAGAGAATACTACAATACTACAGGTCAAGGAAAATAGTACAGGCCAAAGAGAATACTACAATACTACAGGTCAAGGAAAGTACTACAGGTCAAATAGAATACTACAGGTCAAGGAAAATAGTACAGGCCAAAGAGCATACTACAATACTACAGGTCAATGAAAATACTACAGGCCAAAGAGAATACTACAATACTACAGGTCATGGAAAATAGTACAGGCCAAAAAGAATATTACAATACTACAGGTCAAGGAAAATACTACAGGCCAAAGAGAATACTACAGGTCAAGGAAAATAGTACAGGCCAAAAAGAATATTACAATACTACAGGTCAAGGAAAATACTACAGGCCAAAGAGAATACTACAATACTACAGGTCAAGGAAAATACTACAGGCCAAAAAGAATACTACAATACTACAGGTCAAGGAAAATAGTACAGGCTAAAAAGAATACTACAATACTACAGGTCAAGGAAAATAGTACAGGCCAAAGAGCATACTACAGGCCTAGGAGAATACTACAGGCCAAGGAAAACACTAAAGGAACATCCACTGAAGGTTGTCATGGTTACCAGTACTCTTAATCATTTCTGGCATCTGTATACAAACTACCATCAGCATGTAGAATTTCTGCAAAGTGCAAACAGTGAAATAACTTAACTTAGCAAGAACATTGTAACTGTCCCAACCATGCTCTCTTGTGACCAGCAAACCAGCAAACTTATGGATCTCTGATATACACATATAGGTCATGGGTCTCTGATATACACATATAGGTCATAGATCTCTGATATACACATATAGGTCATAGATCTCTGATATACACATACAGGTCATAGATCTCTGATATACACATATAGGTCATAGATCTCTGATATACACATATCGGTCATAGATCTCTGATAAACACATATAGGTCATGGGTCTCTGATATACACATATAGGTCATAGATCTCTGATATACACATATAGGTCATAGATCTCTGATATACACATATAGGTCATAGATCTCTGATATACACATATAGGTCATGGATCTCTGATATACACATATAGGTCATGGATCTCTGATATACACATATAGGTCATAGATCTCTGATATACACATATAGGTCATAGATCTCTGATATACATATATATAGGTCATAGATCTCTGATATACACATATAGGTCATAGATCTCTGATATCTGATATACACATATAGATCTCTGGTCATAGATCTCTGATATACACATATAGGTCATGGATCTCTGATATACACATATAGGTCATAGATCTATGATATACACATATAGTCATAGATTTCTGATATACACATATAGGTCATAGATCTCTGATATACACATATAGGTCATAGATCTCTGATATACACATATAGGTCATAGATCTCTGATATACACATATAGGTCATAGATCTCTGATATACACATATAGGTCATAGATCTCTGATATACACATATAGGTCATAGATCTCTGATATACACATATAGGTCATAGGTCATAGGATCTCTGATATACACATATAGGTCATAGATCATAGATCTCTGATATACACATATAGGTCATAGACATACATAGGTCATAGATCTGATATACAGTCATAGATAGGTCATAGATCTCTGATATACATATAAGTCATAGATCTCTGATATACACATATCATAGGTCATAGATAGATCTCTGATATACTGATATACACATAGGTCATAGATCTCTGATATATACATATATAGGTCATAGATCTCTGATATCTGATCATACATATACACATATAGGTCATAGATCTCTGATATACACATATAGGTCATAGATCTCTGATATACACATATAAGTCATAGATCTCTGATATACACATATCGGTCATAGATCTATGATATACACATACAGGTCATAGATCTATGATATACACATATAAGTCATAGATCTCTGATATACACATATAGGTCATAGATCTATGATATACACATATAGGTCATAGATCTCTGATATACACATATCGGTCATGGATATCCGTTTTGTAAATTTAGTTCATGTATCTCGAAAATACAAAGCAAATATAATTCATGTGAAGTGTAGTTGATGTGATTCAATATGTGTTATTTGGATTGAGAAATATATTCAAGTTCAATATCCAGAAAATGAATCTCTGCATGAAATCATGGGTGCTTGGAAACAACTTAATGAAAGCCTAAATATTGGACAATAAATCTTGCCTGAAGTGTTGACATGTACAAACATTAGATAGTTTACGGACTGTGCAGTTTATCTTGGAAATGTTATAAGGGGCACATGTTTAAGTAGTGAGGTAAGGGGCAGAATGACCTCACTTCCGCTAAGGTCGTGCGTTACCTGTTTGATATTTCAAGCAGGTATTTACTCTGTCATTGAATAAATGATCCTCAGTCAGTTACTAGTCTTTAATCCAGATTTTGTTTTAATGTCAGAGTTCAAACTCGGCTTTGTGAAAATCTTTTCTGATTTATTTATGTTGAAATATGCAGCAAATCAAGGAAACATTTTTTACATTTTCCTTTCATGTCGATAGAAAATATTTTCAATTACACCACACAAAATAGAGTACCAATTGTGCCAACTTCCTTGAACAAATCCCATAGAAAGGTTGTTCAACAGATTATTGTAAGAAAATATTTTCTCTTACTTTGCATAATGACTGCTTCCTTCTATGTACCTCGAGCACAATGTCATCGAGAATTCTGAAATTGCATGTCGCAGTATAAGAAGACGTTTGCAACAGATTTCATTATGTTTATCCAATAAGCTTGAATGTCATCAATGTACATGCAATGTTATTATTCATGATTTATTTTTACTTCAAAAGCTTATTGTCAACAGTTCCAGTGAAGTTCAATTTTTCTCCTGTGCAGTCTAGACCCTGCTTTCTGTTAGATAGATCGAAGTAACATGTTTAGTCAGCCTACAAGATGGCACATGTTTGGTACACACAAACAGAAATCCTGTCTTAATTAGTTACAAAAGTAAGTAAGACAGTTTTGAAATTTGGCGTACAAATAACCAACAGAAAGTACAACCTTTATTTTAATTACTTGTCTCACATATTTTCAAATATTGGTGTTCAAATATAATTTTTTTAATAAGTTATTCCTTAATTGTGGGCTAGGTAAAATCCACACAAAATATAACGTTTATTGATATAGAAAGTCTGTGAGTTACCTCCCTTCCTATTTTGATGCACATGTTTACTGAAAGTAGTTGACAACTTGGATGGGAGGAATAATATTGTTTTCATCAACCATGATTAAAAATGCCTCGATATAAGAAAGTATCTTGTTCAAGGTACAAATAAACAACTGATTTATGAATATAGTAGTTTTACTCGATAATCCAAGTTATCTCACTTGTGTTTTTTTAAAGGTTAAATCTCTCCGACATAAATTACTATGTCAAGATGTTTCATTCGAAAAACAAGCTTTGCAAAATTGGACACTTGAACCAACTGAGAAGATAAGGCACATCCTGAAATAGAGCCGATGTTGCACGACCGTAACGTGCTCAGGTGGGAGTGGACACACAGACACCATGTCTTCTGTCTTCATGTTAACGTGCTACTTCTCCGACATGATTCGGCAGCGGGAGACGGGAGAATGTGGCTTCATTCTCTCCGACTTGTGGATTAAGTGTTTGCATGTCATATTGAGTTAGTAACGGAACACATGCTTTTGAAACAATCGAGTGTTCTGTTACCCCATTGAGGAGATAGCTTGCAGGATATTGTCATGTCAGTATTGACTGATAACCTCTTGAAATTTGTTTTACATTGTCACAATTACATATGTTATTATTTTCTCAGTTTGATTTTTAGACTTTTTCTGTGTCAAGAAATATTATTTTAATTTCCAAATATATGTCTTAAATTCATCTGTTAATGAACTAATCTGGACAACTGTTAAATGGTGACAAATCGCCATTCTGTTGAGTTATTGACATTTGTACCATATCTTTGAAAATATGGTGTACGTTCACATATCGATAACTACAAGTGATTGCCGAGTCTGTACGTTCACATATAGATAACTACAAGTGATTGCCGAATGTGGCGTTAAACACCAAAGCAACGATAACTACATGTGAAAGATGATATGAAACTGGGAGGGAAACAGCCAGATATTTTCAATAAATCAGCAAATACATTTGTATTTTGTTATTTTCTTTTTACTTATGTTTAAGGGGTGGGATTTGGGTGTGTTTTTCCTGGGAAATTTGTATTTTGTACTGATATGAGTATTGTATGTATTCAGTTGATATTTTGTGAAAATGTTTCAATCTAATCAAAGCCAATTTGATATTTTCAAATTAGTTATTGATATCTACTCAATTTAATGTCATTTATTTTAAATTCTATCTTGGGGTTTGTAAATTTTATGTCCCAGAAAGTGATGTCTGTTACTTACACATCATCAACAGATCATTAAAACCCCGCCCTGTATTCCGGCTGACAGGGCCTGTGGCTAGCACTTCGCCTCAGTGATTTCACTTCACTAATCAATCTGTGATCACGGTCCCTACTGAGGCATTGTTGTGATGTGGAGGAGGTGTGGCTGACGTACCTGTTGATGTCAAAGACAATCCTGTGTACAGGAATTTGAAGGTTTGATGATAAGAATGACAGTTTTAGCCCTTGAATCATAATATTCTGTTATTAGTGAAAGACCAAAAGATTTTCACTCTTCCACTGATATTGAATATATATACACCGGTATATGAATGTAGCAAACATACCTCTATTCAGCAGTTTTGTGTGTATGTTACAATGTTTATTTAATATTTTTGCAGGTTTTATAGAAAACAAAGACTATACAGAAAAAGCTTGCAGTAACATTGAACATGTGAACAACTGTGATGTATAGAGAAAATTATACAATTATATGTGAGTCATACTGTCTTCATGTAAACGGGTCAGAATTCTTGTATTTCCAGAGCAAGAGCATTATTTCTGAACACTATTGAGCTCCAGCATGGATCACCAGCACTATCTAAGAAATCCACAATGGCTGAATGACGTCAACAAGGCTGTTTGTCATATAAAGTTGTTACATAACAATGCTGCAATGCTGTCCCGATGATTAAAACAATACGCTGGGTCCTGTGATACTGGTCCCAATCAACACATTTTCCCTAATCCTCAGGGCAGTCAACTGTTTTATTTCCTTCTCAATACATTCTCTGTTTCCTATGTAAAGATTTCTATTGATACAGTGAAAATTGCTTTGAATGACTAATGAAAATCCAAACAGGAAAATGTTTTAGTTTTCCTTAAAAAAAAAAATCAATATTAAATATGTTATTAGGAAACCTTTCTAGAGTTTCAGACATAGTAATGTATGTCATTTTATTGTATTTTAGTCAGTGTCAGATTCAATGTCAAATCCAATTAATTTCAGTTTTTTCCTGCTATTCTGTCTCTGACATGCGGGTGGCATGTGAAATATAAGCCAGCAAAATCTAGTATGAAAACACTAAAATCAGAACTTGAGCCAGTCCAAGAAATATTGATATGCTTGTGAAGAAAACCCTATTGGACAAACTGACCCCTGGTCAACAAGCATCTCCAGCCGTGTGGATGTGTCCTGTGAAAAAAGCTTGAGGACCATACAGTTATTTCATTACAATGACCACTCCACCCAAGTAAACATGGGAAATATTCAACCTCTCTAATTTCAATATTCTTGTCTGGAATATCATTGAGAGTGTAATCTGTCAATTCCTTAACAGGTGGTACAATTGCATTCTTCTGGCCCCAAGCTCACCTGGCCAGACTAAACAGAACTTGTCAATGCTCAAACACAGACCTGCCTAACGGTCATCTTAAATGATAAAAGCACAGGCTAATTGTCCTCTCGAGAAATGCAAATCCTATGTGTGGCTGGTGCATTGCTGTGAGTGTTTGCTTAGTAGGGTCACTACCTGTAGGATACTGGCCACGGGCAGGGGGCTGTTAATATGTCTATTTATTGACATGAGTATCTTGTCCTGTGTAGATATGTAAAATAAGAGAATGCTGATGTGACCTTGTCTGGCAAAACTACATACCTACCTATATTTTCAACATCTGGCATGATTTGTGTTCAACTGGGTACTAATCTGATTTTGTTCACAAAGGATGAACATCTATACATCTCAACTCTTGATAGGGATACAGTGAAACTGATAATCCGGATTACTAACTTGCAAGATATAGGAATCGCTAATCATTGTTACAGACTAATGTCCATTATATGATCATATGTGTGCATTAATGTTTACCCAGTTTTCATTATGAAGACCTACAGTAATAATAATGATATGATAAGGGTATTTGTATGGCACTGACTTCCACCACACTAAGGCAGTGCTCAAAGTGCTGACAAGTCAGAATTCCTTATTACCACGAATAACCCAAGCTGCCTTTGAGGTGCTAGAAGGTAATAGTCGCATGATTTATCCCACCGGGTACCCATTTTCTGCTGTGTGAACAGTGTCCCAATTAGCTGTGTATGGGACCATTCATAATTTATGGCTAGGGGGGTGATGATGATTTTAAGGGGGGTCACCCATTTTGTTCTGGGGAGCTAGGGGGTCATCAATTTTGTACACACATACTGGGGGCAGCAAATTTGTACATAAAAATATGTTTATAATTATGCTTAGAAATTATGGGAAGGGGAGGGGGTCATTGATTTTGTACATACATTTTAGGGGGGTCATTCACATTGTACATGCTTCTCCATAAAAATCATCATCATCCTCTTCTCCCTTTCTCCCCCAAAAAAAAAAAAGAAGAAGAAAAAAAGTCATAAATTATGACATTTCTGGTGTCCCCCGTCGTGATGTTGCTGGAATATTGCTAAAAGCGGCGTAAAACCAAACTCAGTAAGTCAGTCAGTCATAAATTATGAACGGTCCCTAAGTACTAGAAAACACTCTAGACATGGAGCTACCAACTCCCCCTCCAACCCATCAGCTTGTATCATGGAGTGATTGGAATATCCCTATGAAAACAGAGTAGTATATCATAGTTGCAAATTGCCCTGATTAAAGAGGTCTGCAATGTCCACTAGCCTTGGCCTATATGTACAGTTGACAGCACAAGGAAAACAAACATTCACACATCTATCGATTAGGGTAAAGTTGAACCACAATTGTAAATAAATACGTCACCTAATGACCCACTCCCCTTCCCATAATTTCTAAGCATAATTTTAAACATATTTTTATGTACAAAATTGCTGCCTTGGCCTATATGTACAGTTGACAGCACAAGGAAAACAAACATTCACACATCTATCGATTAGGGTAAAGTTGAACCATATTAAAAGTTATATGTAGTGAGCAATTGTAAATACATGTATATACGTCACCTAAAATTGGCAGTTTTCAATCCCAAACTTGAATTATGTGAAGGAAAAGAATTATGTTCAGATGCACAATACTGTACAAATTATTAACCTAACCAAAATTACCTTGTAAAAACTATTTGGATTAAATAAATTAATACTGGAAATTCTTCTAGCAATATCTGTGTGATATAAAAAGATGACAGCTTTTGCTATCCATATATGGCTTCAAGAGTAGGGGATAAAGTAATGATAGCCCTGAGTACTTCTTTATCTGAGTTCAACTGCTGAACATCTTTACATGAAGTTGCCCATGCTTTGTTCAGCATTCTGGAGGCAAATAGTGAAACATTGCTACAACACATGAATAAGAAAGGGCTCAATACAGCTCCCCAGCACACTCAATATGCCTACATGCCAAACACAGAAAAATACACATTTCAGTGATCAATTGATGTGACACACAAAACAGACTCTACAGATGATCAAATGGTCTGATTGACACCATAGAAATATATGTCTGATTATATGTATGGGAAATCAAGCTAGGAAGTGAATACAGCTATTGTTTGATGTATATCTGCTGTAGGTACCGCGACGGGCCTGGATTCACAGCATCTGCCAATATTGACCATGAAGGAAATACTTCTCTGGAATGTAGCATATTGTTTACTGACAATAAGGAAATAACAGAATATTTCATTAATCGTTGCCAAATTGATAGCCTTAAGCAGTGAACGCTGCTGTACACCTTGGTTAGAAAATTCAATATTTGGTTAATATTTGAAATCAGGTTTCCTATTCAAATTTTGTGATAGAGAAATATTGCTTTTGCATTTGGTGCTTCAAAGGAAACCAGATAAAGAAGTATGTGTGAAGTAAATACAAATGATGTGGCAATGGTCGTCTTTCGTGATGATTGATATATCCTGAGGCCTCCCTATTTACTAGTTACAACCAGAAATATATCATTAAAGATGATGTTTAATGCTAATTTAAGGAATAAACATTGTGTGAAAAACATGGCCTGGAAACTCAATACATTCACTGTCAGGAACATATACCAAGCACAAAAAGTTAGGAGTCATGAAATGTTATTACATACATGTGAAATATGAAATCATATACTTTCTTGTTCAGCGTATGTAAATTAAATATTAATGAGAAATATTCAGCATGGAGTGTGTTTTTTTATTTACTAGATAGATATATGAGAAACTATATGTTTGAATAAATCATTATGATGGCAATTTAATTGTTTTTGTTCCTTCCTCAGTGAGGAGATCCCAGTTGATGTTATAATTCTTTATGTGTGGTTGGTTCAGGAAAGCAGGAGGTTGGGCACTTGAGTACTTTATATATCACTTTGGGCTGAAAGGAACATCAATCTTGTGTGATTCCTCTCTACTTAATGTGGATATGCAGCAGCATGGAAGTGGGCAAATGTCACATGACTGATGTAGGTGAAATTAATCTCTGATGCAAGTTGACACGTAAGGCAGCTCATGATTATCAATTCATGCTGACTAGAATGTGATGTGGAACTTAATGTGTCATTCATTGCGTACTGTATATACAGTCGAACCCTAATGTTCAACACAACTGGGTTCAACTGTACAGATTGTTAAGTGTAAAACATGTGAACACAACAAAAAGCACCATTTCTTATTTCTGATTCAGGGTAGGGTTGTGGTGAGCATTAAAGAAAACATGGACCTGCCTCTAAAGCATAGGTCCCTAAAGTACAAGGGTGTCCATTACATATAGTTCATCAGAGTACAAGGGAGTCCATTACATATAGTTCAAAGGGTGTCCATTATTACATATAGTTCATCAGTTCATCACAGTACAAGGGTGTCCATTATGTATAGTTCATCACAGTACAAGGGTGTCTATTACATTTAGTTCATCACAGTACAAGGGTGTCCATTATGTATAGTTCATCACAGTACAAGGGTGTCTATTACATATAGTTCATCACAGTACAAGGGTGTCCATTATGTATAGTTCATCACAGTACAAGGGTGTCTATTACATATAGTTCATCACAGTACAAGGGTGTCCATTACAGTATAGTTCATCACAGTACAAGGGTGTCTATTACATATAGTTCATCACAGTACAAGGGTGTCCATTACATGTAGTTCATCACAGTACAAGGGTGTCTATTACATATAGTTCATCACAGTACAAGGGTGTCCATTATGTATAGTTTATCACAGTACAAGGGTGTCCATTACGTATAGTTCATCACAGTACAAGGGTGTCCATTATGTATAGTCCATCACAGTACAAGGGTGTCCGTGGATGTCCAATTACTGTAGTTCACCACAATACAAGGGTGTTCATTAAGTTAGGTAGTCACAATACAAAGGTGTCTATGAAATGTGGATGACCACAATTCTGAGGTGTCTGTTGAGTAAAGGTGGCCCCAATACTGGGGTATCTGTTTAATGCATATGGTCACATAACAAGGGATTCTGTTGAGTGCAGCTCTCCACTCTGATATCACCTGCTGTTTTCCCAATTAAAGCACAAACTAACTTTGCTTGCCATGAGGTACAAGACTCTAACTCACTGCTACGCAAGTTAATCATAAGGAGATGCGGCCTTGTGTAGGTAGCTCTGGTATGCAGGAAATGACAGAACAGAAACTCATTCTTGACATCATGCTCCGTCTCTGACCTGAATTTGAAATATAGCTGGTGCGGAGAAGACGGATGAATTTATGCATGAACTGACGAAGGTTTGGGACAGTGTAACAAAGGATGGGGTAGTTGAAGGAAGGAAAGGCAAAATGAATGGAGTGAGTGAGTGACTTAGTGCTAATCAGTGTAATCCAGCCATGATCAGATGGGTG